TGGAAAAGAAATGGGTGTGTTTAGAACAGGGCAACATGGAAGAAGTACAACCTGGGGGGTTTGCTGCATAACGTGTGCAAAACAGACAATGTACAACGCAAGGATAGACCAATGAAGAATCATGGCGTAACATCAATATTTTAATTGTTGTTATCAGTAATAATGCCTATTATAGTTTTGTACAATTGGATATTTATAGCTTGATAAGCAAGGGGGAAGGAGATACCTGGAAAAGCTCTGTCTCTTCAACCAAGGGCTTCTATGTGGCTTTTTTATCTGGGGTCTCACTTAGCTGGAACCCAGCTTTTTGCAGTGAGGATACCATCAGCATTGCGTAGGTCCTTGGGCAGAAAGCTGTATGTGAGTAATCAGATGACAGCCTCTGTGAGTAAGGAAGCCCAGCGGACTCCAGCCCCAGCCCTCTGATTCCCAGCTGCCTGGAGCTATCTCCTGTGAGCCCGACTAAGTGTCCTCAGACGCCTCCCTCGAATGGCAGATTTGATGCAAAGGAAATGCTTGCTGCTGTGTTTAGCCACTAATTTCAGAGTGGTTTATTACACAGTGATGGATGATGGGGAAAAGGTGACGTTTACTTTAATACTTCATGGGAGAAAAAAAGTTTATGTTCATTGAAATTTGTGGGAGCAATGATGGCATTTCAAAAAGCATCACCAAACTGAACAATTCAAGCCTGATTTTATTCCATTAAATCTCAGGGAGGTTTCATTATAACCACCATAACTCCAAATTACATATTGAGTATGTCATTTGCTTAAGGAGTTTTATACCACTGATAGCTATAAGACATAATTTTGGTGATATATATATATATATATATATATATATATATGGTGTGGATGTTCAAGTGGTATGCTGTTTGAATTTTAGGAGTTTGTGGCCCAGATTAGCTGAAGTTAGGATATCTTTAAAATATTTTTAGCGTATCACACATACATAATTATTATTGACTTTTAATTAGAAATTATTATTTGAAGGCTGGAGAGATGGCTCAGTGTTTAAGATGGAGAAGATGGCTCTTCTTGAGGACCCAGGTTCAACTCTCAGCACCCACATGGCAACTTACAAAAGTCTCTAACTCCAGCTCCAGGGAACTCAAACCCCCTGACAAAACACTAATGCATAAAGCAACAAAGAAACTGTTATTTGAAGATTGTTTTTATGAACTATAAGTTAATGTGGCTTATTAAAATACTAGTTTTGCAAGGATATTTGTGTCAGTTGCTTGTCTCGTTTCTATGGTAACATATGAAAGAGGGGAGGAAGCGCTACTGTTCGGTTCCTAGTTCGAGGGTATAGTTCATCGTGTCAGGGAAGTAACTGAGGGAGCTGCTCGGGTTGTGACCAGTAAGGAAAAGGAGGGATGGATACTGGCACTCAGTTCTCCTTCTCCCTTATATCCCCAACTGCAGCGGGTGAAATGGCGCTGCCTATAGTTACGGTGGATCTTCCCATCTTGATTGACTTGGCTCTAGCTAAGCCCTTACAGGCATGCTGGGACGGTTTTCTCCGGAGTGACTCTAGATCCTGTCAGGTTATCCATCAGTATTAACTCGCCCATCTGATTACTGATGGAAACTCCTCTGTGTATTCACGCCCTCTAGCAAATTACCCAGGCTGCGAATTCTCTCCTTTAACTTCTGCTGTAATCCCTGCGGTGTTAGGATGGCAGACCCAGGAAGGCTATAGGATGGACACAGAAAGTAGGGGTCTATGCCAGGCGGTGGTGGCGCACGCCTTTAATCCCAGCACTCGGGAGGCAGAGGCAGGTGGATCTCTGTGAAGTTCGAGACCAGCCGGGTCTAGAAGAGCTAGTTCCAGGACAGGCTCCAAAGGAAGAAAGAGAGGGAGGGAGGGTGACACCCACGGAGAAAGGAAGTGTGTGTTCCCTGACAAGGTTAATATGTAATTCTCTTAGAAATGTTAACTTTTTTTTTTTTTTTTTGAGACCTGGTCTGGATATGGGGCCTGAAATTCTCATTTTCTTGCTCAGTCTCTCAAGTGCTGAAGTTACGAGTGCGGGGTACCATGCCCAACAATAATGTGCAATCCAGATCTCAATCCCTAACTTTAGTCAGAACAGACTTCAGAATATTTTCCTCTTTAGCCGTTAATGATCAAAATACGCGAGTCTAGCTTGTGTTTGTCCTGCTCTCTCCTGGTTGATTCACAGAGACACTGCAGGATGAACCAGTTTAGCCTGTGCCTTCTAACTCTAACAATAGAGAAATAGTCCAACAAGACCTTTTCTGCTCTCTTTTGGCTCTGGCTCTCAGTGGTCACCAGTGTGTGGCCTTTGACCTGTACATGAGGTTTCCGATCAGCAGGGGGCGAGAAAGCTCTAGCGCTCTGGTGCGAGTGGCCAGGAGGCGTGGCTTCTTCATCCTTGACCGACAGCTAAGGAAGGATGCAGGCGAAGATGAGGTAATAGCAGGCAGAACGAGGAGGGCGTGGGGTTGTTCGTGTGTGTGTGCGTGTGTGTGTCTGTGTTTGTGTGCGAGTGTGAGTGTGTCCGTGCGTGCGCGAGCCGGAGAAAAATGCGACCCCCGGAGCTCGCGCCGCAGACTCATTCGGCGCTGCGCTGAAAACGGAAAGAAAGACAGAAAGTTCCATTTTCGAAGAGATTGCAAAGTTAAGGCCCGGCCGTGGCCGCTGGGGTCGGGATGGCGCGCGTGCTCTCGGCACCCGGGGACTAGGGAAGCGTCCGCGGGAGCGAGCTCGTCCTGGCGCACTGCCGGGGAGGGGCGACTCCTTCTGGAAGGCACCGAGCCAAGCCGCAGGGAGGGGGAACAGTGCCGCCGCGGTAGCCGCGCTCCGCACCGAGAGGGCGATCCACGCGGACGCCCGCGGAGCCCGAGGCGCAACTGGTGCGAGGCGGGTGCAGCAGCGCCGCTCGGGCCGCGCGCCCCCGGGTGGCTTTGCAAGGCGGGGCGGCGAGAGCACAGGGCCGGGCCTTTGCATGAAGCCACTGGACCCTTCGGAGCAGCGGCGAAGCCCGGCGGAGCGCGGTCGGAGGCGGGCGGCCCCGGGGTCCGCGTCCCGGTCCCTGCGCGGCTGCGGACTCCCCCATGTCCCGCAGCTGAGGCTGCCCGCGGCGGCGGGGCGCGGGGCGGGGGGCGCGGTCCAGGCCCGGAGGCGGCGGCGCCGGAGGAAGCGCAGGAGACCGGGCCCGGGAGACGGGCAGCGGCGCGCCACAGCCCCGGGCTCGCCATGCTCCTGGCCTCGGCCGTGGTGGTGTGGGAATGGCTGAACGAGCACGGCCGCTGGCGTCCCTACAGCCCCGCTGTGAGCCACCACATCGAGGCGGTGGTGCGCGCGGGTCCCCGCGCCGGGGGCAGCGTGGTACTGGGCCAGGTGGACAGTCGGCTCGCGCCCTACATCATCGACCTGCAGTCCATGAACCAGTTCCGTCAAGACACGGGTGAGCCGCCCACAGCCCTTGTCTATCCCGGGAGCTACCGCCCTCGTGGTCGTGGGTTGTGGGCAGTTTCTCTTACTGGTGTCAGCGATCGGTGTTGAGGGCAGGTGCTTTCCTTCCCTAGATCCTCTCAGGATCCCATGACCACCTCCAAATAAATGTCCTTCCAAGTAGTTTAAAGTACCTTGATTAAGCAAACTCAACTACAGCTTAACAGCAGGAGACCCCTTTGTACCCCCTTTCAGCCCCTAGTGCCTCTTTATGCAGGACCTCTAGGACTTTGCAGCCCCCAAGCAATGCTTAGCAAGCAAAAACATTGCTGGAGCCCCTTGGCTGCTCACACCTTGGCTGACCCTGCTTTGTCTCAAGCACCCTTGTTGCTACCACATATTCCCCTTTTAACCTTGCTGTCTCTGGCCCTCCTCTGTGAACCCAGCTTTCTAGTCCTGGGTGTAAGACTTGGGGAAACAGAGTGATCCCCTGACTCTAATTGCAGTCTGGTGTGTGGAAGTGTGGGAATGTTACTGGAAAGAGAGAATGGAGCCAGGGGTTTCAGGGCCGGACCATCCTGGATGTGGTGGCATCCACAGATGCCTCTGCTTGTATGCTCCAAGTGCTGAAGCAACAGGCCAGAGCAGATGGAGAGAGGAGGGGGAAGGACTGGGCTCTGGAATGCCTGGCAGGGAAGCTGCTCCCTTTGTCCGTGGAGGAGGAGGGAGAGAGTAGGTGGAAGGCTAAGAAGAAACTGTCCCCAGTTTTGTTTTTCTTAAGTAGCATACAAGGGCCACTCTGGCCTCCCAAGGCACTGAACTCTCGTCTTTACATAAAAACCAAGTTGCCATCGAAACCACTAGGAATCTCCCAGCTGTGCAGCCCTTAGCCTGGAATGGAACTGCAGAAGTTAGAATATGGCTTTGGAGTCAGGAGGGAGAAGGAAATCACAGTTGCTCTTTCCCCTGGGTCTAGTGTGTTCAAGTTTAATTTAACTGATGACCTGGGACAAGTTCCTGTCTCCAGAGAGTAATCTTTTTAATTGGGGGTCATTTCTGGAATTCTGGCTGGCCTTTCCCAAGGGGGGTAGCTGCAGAGCCTGGAGAAGCAGGTGTGGTGGGGAGGGAGAGGGGGAGGAGGGCCCTGTGGCTCAGGGAACAGCTGCTGGACAGGTCCTCTGAACTTCCTAGGAAAAACCCTCACATCCTGTGTGCTAATTGGAATTGTCATGGGAAAGAAGTATAGTTCCCCCCTCTTGTTATCTGCGGTCACAACTCTGAAAAGCCTGTTTGCCAAAAACTGAATGACCCTTGCCAATGGAAGACAACTTTCTGGGGGGAGGGGCGAATGTTCCAGAAGTTTCAGCATCTGTCAGGCTTGAGCCTTCATGGAGAAAGTGGGGAGGAGGAGCTGAGAGGAAGAGAGGACAAAGAGGAATGCAGGGAGGTGGGGTAAGAGGATTAGATGTAGGAATTAGATGCCATTGTGCATTTGGGTAGAGGACATGGAAGTGAGGCGTGGGGACCTCAGATGGAGGGCATGGGGGGGGGTGATGGAGGAAGCAGCTGAGCCCTGGAGGTGGGATCGGCAGACCACCTGACAGGGAGTTCCAGGCCTGCTCAAAATAAAACAGCAAGTTTGGCTCTTCTATTTCAGACTAAGTCTGTGCAGCATATGGAGAGCCATCCTAGCCATGGGCCGGCCCCATCCCCTGCCCCACTGTTAGGAAGTCAGAGGTTTAATCTGCATTGGGGGCTATTTAAGATGGACACAGGTCTAGGAGCAGCCATGGCCTGGATGTTGTTCCCCACAGAGTGAAGTTGTAGAGGACCTGGAGTGAATGACAGTATCTCCTTCCCAGGTTTTGGCTGCTGGGGGCTCTTCTTGGGGCACACCCTATGCCCACTGATTATGGCAGTTCACTTAGTTTCTTCTGTTTTAGGTCTGAGGCTGAGAAATAGTCACGGTCCTCGGCAAGACTCTGCAGCTGAGCTGTTTCTTCTGCCTCTGCACCCCTTTCAAAAATATGATCTAGGTATTTCCTTCAGGCTGGCCTCAAACTGGCCAACTCCCTGTCTCAGCCTCCTAAGTGCTGGGATTGGTTACAGATGTGCACCACCTCCTCCAGCCTGAATCCTTTAAACATTTTAAAGTTTGCCTTGCGTGTTTCACATCCACACTGCTCTGGCGTCGTCCCTCTTTCCCGCATAAAGTTCACTTTCCTGGGCACCTCTCTCCTCCAAGTGGATGCTAAAGGCTGAATTCCTAGAAAGGCTGGGCCTGCCAGGGAGCTTGTCAGTGCAGATTAGAATTCCTTCATGTCAGCGCTGACCCCCTTCTGCTCCCTCCTGCGTCCACACAAGAACTCGGTTCCTCTCAATGAAGACCATTGATGAGACCGCGACATGTTAGGAACTTTAAGCCACCAGCTCCCAGGCAACCTTAGCCAAGCCCTGGCAATGTTTAATTAAATTACTCACTGTCCCCAAGCCACACTGTAAAGCTGGGAACCAGAAAAGTCCCTATAAAGCCAGACAAGCTGGAAGTCCCCTGCCTAGAGGCAATTCCTTTCCCTTTGGTTGTCTTGTTTTTATAGGCATTTGACATGAGAGCTTTCTCTCTTCAGAGTTGTATGCCTGGATACCTAGTGAGCTTGGTCTCTTCATTCCTTCGAGCTCTTGACTGCATCCAGACTGTCTCCAGGGAGATGGCTAGGAGGTTGCAGACACCCATCTACCCACTTCTGTTTGCCCTGGGTTTTCCTTCCCCAGACTTTTGCAAATAGGAGCTGATTTGCATTCTAGGTTACTTTTCTCTAGGCGTTTGGGCTGGAGAATATTTAAAAAGGTAAGGAGGGAAGGGGTTCTGGACCAGTCTGTATGCCTTAGTAGAGTCCGCTCTGTGCAAAGTCCTCTACTGTCATCTTCCTTGTCTGTTATAGTCAGGCCTTCCCATATCTGTCATCGATTGGAGAGAAGCCTTCAGAGTCCCTTTCTTCCAGCATAAGCATCTGCACATGCAGACCCCAGACCCCCGCACCAACAACAATGCTAATGATAATAGGTTGACCCAAGAGTGAAGTATTTCCAGCCCAAAGCTTTTAGTGCTAGCCTGTCTCTTTTTATCTTTAATGAGAAGGGCCCGATGGAGTGAGTGGGGCTGCAAGATTTGACGGAATCCCTCCTATCGCATACTAGCTAGTGTGGACACAGGAATGGAGGGGTTAGACGTAATGGTTACCAAGTGGGTACTAGAGATACATCATGCCAAGAGAGTTGCACGGGTGTCTTGTTTCAGCTTCACGAGGATAATACAAAGACTAGTCCCATTTTATGGAAAGAGGAGCAAGTTGAAAAAGCTTAAATTGCTCAAGAGTTCAAGTTACTTTGTCAGTGACAGAGCTAAGAGTCCAGTGAAGTGCCCCATGTATGCTTGTTGCATTTGTGGACTAATTTCACGTGCAGTGGTAGGTGTGGGGGGCCTATCAGGAATAGAACATCCACAAATTTGCTCTTATGGAGCTTTCTACACTGAGGTTGAGCTGAAATCGTGCTGGTATGAGAAGCTGAGAGCTTAAAGAGTAGACTATAAAAACACAGGTGTGGGTCACCTGTCAGAGATCTAAGCCCATGCCTGGAGCAGTCTTCCAGTTCCCAAAGACAAAACATCTCCAATGCTTTGAAGTGAGAAAACCATTTTTTCCTTCTCTTCCTTCCTCTTTGGTTTGTGAACATCCTCTATGCCTACTGTATTGGAAATCTTCTCCCTGGGTCCTCACACCATAGGACCCAGGTGGATGGAACTTCTTCAGATTGTCTAATCCACTGTCCTGATTCTAGAATAGCCAGGCCTAGAATATTCCAACTAGAGAAGTCTGTAGGAATAAAATATCTTCTCTCTTCTCCCAAACTTTTTGTTCTGAGGTTAGATGTTTTTGATGGCTACCCTATAGGGCTAAACCAAATTCAGCAACTTTCTCTCCAAAAACCTAGCTCATCTTTACATCCCTCTGTTTGCTACCGTTTTGTACTCTTCTTGTGGTCAACCTCAGGATTCTTTGACTCATCCTCTTATTCAGAGCCTGAGTGGCTAATATTTCCAGGAATGCAACATGTGTGCCCTGCTGGCTGAAATTTTGATGTGGATAAAGAGAACTGGATTCCCAGACCAAGGCTCTTGGGTCTTGGGGTCATTGCTGGGTTCCTGGAGGTTGTGAACAAGCAGCCTTGAAACCTCATTTGCAGAGTGTTCAGCTGCCTGTGCCCAACTCCCTCCCAGTCCTCTCTGTAGGGTCTCCCCGCCTCTCTTTTTGCTTTCCCTAACACTTGTCCACCCTCTCTGAACTGATCAGGAGAGCAGCTACTCTTCACTAGCTCTTCCTCACCCTCAAACAAAGCCCATCACAGCTTGGTGTTCTAGACCTTTTATGCCCTGGCTATAGCTTGGTCCTCTGTGCCGTAGATTCTCCTGGTAGTTCTGTGGTTTTCTCCACCCCGCCTATTCATGTGGTTCCCCTTGGAAAGAAGCCCTTTCTTTCCATTTGACTGTTGAAAGTCTCCGTATCTTTCAAGTCTTATGTCAGTTGTCATCTATTTCTTCAAAAGTTCCACAAGCCATCATTACTCCAGTTATCAGTCACTATGTTAGTGAGCCCCTCAGGCTCAATAAATGTCAAACCTGTGGGACAGAGTTAGGGTAAATGGTTTGATGCTCACTGTCATCAGATTGAGGATCTAGGGAGAGAGGCGGATCCGCATCTAACGAGCCACTTAGATAAATATGCAAACTGTGCGCCGAGATCAGTGCTGTTAAAAAGTGGGAACAGGATTTGGCTTGGTCACAGAATTTTCATTGGGGTGAAATGAGTTTTATTTAATCTGAAAGAGCCAACAAACAATTTTTGCTGAGTGGCTAGGAAGGGGGACCTAGCATGGTGACGGTTTCTAGAAGCAGAGACCAGCAGCGGGAGAGACTGGAGGCCAGTGCGAAAGAAATGTGTGTAGAGTATATGGGGGGAAGGAGCTGTAGAGGTGGGTGAAGCAGGGGTTTTTGGTCCTGGCTGAAGAAAAGAAAATTGGGGGAAGATGTAAGCAGAGAAGGTGTCCAGTCACTTTCCCTGACAACTGGAGTTCCCTTGATGTCCTTTTGGCTCATTTTGCGTCATAAACAATCCCTCCCACATTTGCCTTCTGGCTCCCTTTGCCGACTGCACACTGCTAAGGAATGCCGGAGTTTTGCATTTTCCATAGCAACTAATGGAATGCGGAGCAACCTGCGATCCGTGAACAAATCTGATAGTAGCCAGAGTGTTCAGTCCGTTGTGGCACAGTTTATGGTGTTTTCATAACGCCAGACCTCGCCTTAGGGAGTGGACTACAAAGAGCCACACAGCCGTATCCCTGCCAACACTCAGCACCTACAAGGAGAGTAAGCCTAGACATCTAGTGGAGACATCTGAAAACTGTCAGTCCACTTCTGCACAGAAAGCTTCCTGAGGCGTGGGGCTGGGACAGGTGAGCGGACAGTGGCCTAAGAACTAAAAGAGAGAGTTGCAGTAGGGGAAAATCACAAGGGCTTGCCAGTAGAAACGGAACTGCAATGGAAGACATGAGGATTAGGTCTGTATCTGACAGAGATAGTGGGAAATGCAAAGGATAGAAGAAGATAAACTAGGAAGGTGTGTATGGAGCCAGGACGTGGCCTAGGGAGTTCAGAGACAATGTTCAAACTTTTACAGGATTGATAACTTTATTGGCTAAAAACGAATTGATCAAACAGACAAAATCACTGCTTTTTAAGTGCGTTTGGAAGCTCTAAACAAGTGCATTGCCCCTGTTCCCTGGAGGGCATTTTCAAAAGTGTCATTAAACTCTCTGAACTTCATTTTCTTATCTGTCAGTGGTTTATAGGATTGCCATGGAAGTTGTGTCTGTAAGCAACCAAGAGTAAAGACTGAATAGGGGCAGGGTGATTTCATATCTTTTCTCTTTCTCCTGTGTCTCCCCCCCCCCTACACACACACACACACACACACACACACACACACACACACACACGTCCTCTTACTGCACTTTTCCTATAACATCTCAAGGGTGAACTGCAATAATAATCACTATTTGATTGAGCAATTGCTGCATGACAGGTTCCTGCCTGTCTTCAAATCCACCTGTTAGAGCTATGCATAGTCCTAAGAGATGAGGAAAGAAGGCTTCCCCCCACAGCAGGAAGGAATGGAACCTCCTCCATGGACCCTGCGCTTTGTTCCCCAGAAAGCTGACCTGCTGCTGAGGAAGGAAATGGAGGCTAACCCGGGAACTTCCCCCTCCATCCTGATACCCTAGGGCCCCTAACAGAGTCCTGGCCCTGAATGGAGAATTGTTCTGCTTCTCCCTCCTGCCTCTGAATGTTGATGTTTTGGGTTATTAAGGGGCTTGGAGATGGGGTGGGGAGTAGGTTATGACCCTGGCAAAGGCCTGAATAACCATTGTTCCTTTCTTTCCCCCTTGAATGGCATTCTGTCCCAGTCATGGTGTCTCCCTCTGGATTGGGGGAAGGGGTGGGTCAGAGGCCAGGGAAGGGGAGCCTTTTCCCACCACTTCCTCAGATAGAGTGTAAACTGGCAGATGTAGGGACCCCAGCATCTCAGAGCCCCCTTCAGCCTTTAGCCTTGATGTTGATGCCATGAAATGAGTCCTGGTTGGACACAGAATTTGTTACTAGGGTGGAGAGAGGAAAAAGGTGTAGAGATTCTGGAGTCCAGTTCCCTTGTGGGCCTGCTGGGTCATCCCTGTGATCGCCTTATCTCGTTATCCCCTTGGTTCTTCCAAACCCATAGGGAGACTATAAAAACGAAGAGGATGCTATCTTTAGAAGGGTTGAGTTTCTTGGAAGAAAACCTTAGATAATTATGAAATTATTCTCGTGACCATTGAGAATGTTATTACTGCTGATAAAAGACTCAATTCCCGGGAACTAGGTGAGAGTTCTCTCAAGATGATGCCCTATATCCCAATAACACCTTTTCATCTTAACTTTTGTTTTTGTTTTGTTTTGTTTTTACATTTATTTGTTTGGCAGAGGAGGGGATGGGTTGAGCTACGGCATGTGTGCGGAGGTCAGAGGGCAACTTATGGGAGTTAGTTTTCTCCTTCCACCATGTGAGTCCTGGGGGCCAAGTTGAGGTCATCAGGTTTAGAAGCACGTTCCCTCCCCCTGAGCCATCTCACTATCCCACTTTTTCCTTCTTTTAAAATGTGCTCCAAAAGAGCCATGGTCAGCTTCATTTTCACAACTCCTGACCTTTTAGATGGAAGCAAACTTGTCTTTCTTTCTTCTGGAGTTCCATGGCTCTGTGTTCTTTCCTCTATAACCCTGGGTGCAGGGCTCTTCAGAGGGGCCGGGATGGCATATGAACTCTCCTCTGCATAAGGGCATTTCTCCCCCAAGTGAGAGTTACCAGATGGTCATGGAAATTCTGGCACCTTTAATGCCTGTTTTTTTTTTTGTTTTTTGTTTTTTGTTTTTTTTTCAAAAACTCCCAGGGAGAGTTGCCTTATTCCTCTGAACAAGAGTTGACTGAGTGTATTAGCTGGAAAGTGAACTGATTTGTCTCCAAATCAGTATTCCTGAACCCTGAGTTTGGAGGTCCATTCTGCTGCCTGGCAATGCTTCCCGTGCCCTCTGTGTGGCTTCATCTGCTTCTACCCTGGATTGTTGTAGACTCCTGAATGAGTCTTATTCAAAACCCTACTAGGCAGTGCAGGGCCTGCCACGCAGTAGGACTGCAGTTATGCTGACCTGTGAATCTAATACACACCAGTGGTGTTCTCCACTAACCCTGACGCCTCCCTCCTCTGTCTTCGGCAGGGACCCTACGTCCAGTTCGCCGCAACTACTACGACCCATCCTCAGCCCCTGGGAAGGGTGTCGTTTGGGAGTGGGAGAACGACAATGGTTCCTGGACACCCTATGACATGGAAGTGGGTATTACCATCCAGCATGCCTATGAGAAACAGCACCCCTGGATCGACCTCACTTCCATTGGCTTCAGCTACATCATTGACTTCAGCACCATGGGCCAGATCAACAGGCAGACCCAGCGCCAGCGCCGTATCCGCCGCCGACTAGACCTCATCTACCCCATGGTCACAGGCACTATGCCGAAGGCTCAGTCCTGGCCAGTCAATCCTGGAACGACCACTTCCCCCCCTGCACCACCCTGTTCCTGTCCACAGTGTGTTTTGGTGATGAGCGTCAAGGCTGCTGTGGTCCATGGGAGCAGTGGGCCCCTTCAGCCTCCAGGAACTCGCAAGAACATAGCTCCCTCTGGAGTGGGCAAGCTGCCCCCACCACCTGGCCCTGGGACGAAGCCGCTAGATACTTCCGGCACCTTGCGAGGCCCAGGGAAGACTGCTCCATCACAGGTGATCCGGAGACAAGTCTCTAATACACCAGCTGGGGCAACTGCAGGCTCCCCCACCAGCCCACAAGGAAGCAACAGGAAGCCTGGAAGGGTGGCATTGGCCACCTTGAATCGGTCCAACCTGCAGCGACTGGCCATTGCCCAGTCCCGGGTTCTGATTGCCTCGGGGTAGGTGTTCCCATGGCTGCCACAGAGCACTTACCCACCTTAGAGGTAGCCTGTGACTCACCTGTGGGTCAGACAGCAAGATGGACTGGCTAAGACAGGCATGCCTAGCCTTGTCAGACTGAGCTGCCCCTGGTAGGTGGAAGCCAGCCTGGTGTGAACAAGGAGCAATTTCACATTAGGGCACCAAGAGGTGTGGATATAACTGAGGTTTTTGCCTGTTAGTTGCTGTGTCTGAGGCACGACCCACACGTGAAGCTCTGACTTCATCATTAGTAAACACTGCAAACATACCAATGTTACAGTCCCAGCCAGTACAGATGACGGTGCTAGGAAATCGTAGCCGGCATTAGTTGAGCTTCCACTGTGTTTTGGTTTAATGGTTTTAGCTTTTCATTTATAATTTTTATAATGACTGGAGACATTATCCCATTTCACAGATGGAGAGAATCAGATACGTGGCAGGAGTCTGGCCTTGCAGCCCCCCCCCCCCCACCCACACACACGCCAGGTATTCCGATCAGTACAGGCATACAGTAAGTGCCAAGCAGGGATTGCTTCTCCCATACCCCATTTCAGCTTGCTTATGACATGCTGGAGCTGTTGTAGGCGCCATTAGTGTTTCTTACTTTCTTGATATCCCTCATCCACCAAATGGGAGTGCCCAGGTCCCTACAGTGCCCTCAGCAGCCTTTGTCTAACCTGTTGACTTCTTGTCAACTCATAACAGCCAGCCCCCTTCCTTTTGTCCTCAAAGGACTGGCCTTGCTGCTGTCCTGTGCCCCTTGGTTGAGATGGCTTGAAAGCTGGAATGGGTCCCTAAGACTGAAAATCCAGGCTGCCCTGAGGCAGGGCCATAAATACTCAGCTGGGTCTCCAGACATCTTAGCAGAGGGAGGTCTTAGCTAGGGGGAAGGGAAATGAAAGAAAACACGCAGCAGAGGGAGGAGCACTGGGCTGGAACAGCCTCTCTTCCTGCCTCTCACTAATGGAAGCCCTAGGATCTAGGATCTTTGCAAGGACCAGTGTCCTTGTGTGTCAAATGACGATTCCCGGTTTACATAACCTGCTTATGGGATCATTCTGAAAACCTCTGTGGATTGAGTCGACTTTCTGACAAGTCCCAGATGGGCTTGCCACTATTATCCCATCTCTGTCACTGATGTATTTTATGCATGGGCACTTTGCTAAGATTTATCTTTTCTTGGGAGGGTCACCCAGCTCATGTGGTGCAGAGAAGTTGGAACACAGGATTGTGCCCACTGTTCCATCGTTGTTTTGGCTACAGCCACAGTGACTCAGAAGGCAGCGTATAATGCCTCTTGGAGGCATGGAAGGCTCATGACTGCCTCTAGGGTGAAGGATGGGATGGAGGGCAAGGGATGCCTGGAACCTGCTGTTCCTCTGCTCCTTTCTTCTGGATTGCAACAGTGTGCTAGGCGCTCTAGCCCTTGATTGTTGGGCTCGAACAATCCTTGCTGTGCCACTTGGAGTAAGTTTTGCATCCTCTGTCTTCAGTGTTCATGGCTGTTGAATGACATAATAGTACTTCCATCCTAGGGTTGTCCGAAGGATTAAATGAGGCCTTCGGGTTAGAGACTGCACAGAGTCCAGTGGGGGTTAGTTGCAGATGATGATGATGATGGTGGTGTATCTAATGGCTAACCACTTGTGCTGTTGCTGAACTGACGTCAAAGCTGAGCTGATCCAATTTACACCTCGTCTCTGTCCCGCTTGAGAAATGTCCCAGTGACCCCATGCCATCACGGAGACAGATAGCCCTTGAGCTGCAGTGAGTCTGAGGAGGTCAACAGGCTTCATTTCGTTCCTTTATTCCTCTGCCAAACCGCAGAAAGGAGTTCAGTCCTGGCAGCACACTTTCAAAAGGGCTATAGAAATGAGTTGATTTTTGCTCTGTCTTCCCGAAAGGGAGCCCCCTCCCACCTCTGTCTGCCTTCCAGCCCTTTCTTCTCACCTTTTCCCACCTCCCACACCCCATTGCCATCTTCTTTTCCAGCTTTTCTTGGTCACTAATGAGCGTGTGTTAGCCGCTTTGTCTGGCGTTGCCATCAACCTTCTGTCATTACACAGCCCGTCCCCATCCTCCCTGCCCGTGACCTCTTCAAACAGCTTTCCCACAGGAAAGAAAAAGAAGAAGAAGATCAGGGAGGGCAGGCAATGCGGGATGAAGAGAAAGTCTTGGCAGGGAACAAAAGATGCAGTGAACTATTCAGACACAAGCAGGAGGTTCTTAAAAGGGGTGGGGAGGTCTGTGCAGGGCAGCCATCACCCCTCTCCCCTCAGAGTCCAGGTTTCTGTACCTCCAGCTAGGCATGGTTTTTGGTTGCCTTAGAGACAAGGCCATTGTCCTTCATGAGGTTTCCTGGTTTGGTGAATAACTCAGAAAACACGAGCTTTCTCACCATAGGGTCTGCAGGGATATCCCCCTCCCCAACCCCATTCACGCCCCTTTCCCTGCACTGGGTCAGCTCCTCTCTTTCCTTAGTTTTATTTTATCAATGGAAATGAAAACTTGAACCCTCCCATAACTGGTAACAACCCAGGATGTGAGAAGCAGGCCTGTAATTGGATTGCTGTTCCCTAGGAGGGGCTCTGGCTCAGATAGCTGAGGCCCCAAGGGCAGAGGACAGGTTTTCTGGGGTTTTCCTTTTAACCTGCAATCATGGGGGAAGGGTAGGCAGGTGTTGCCTGCTCCTAGTCCCCAGCACTACTGGGCTTTCTTCTCTGCCCTTTATACCTGATACCCTGTGCTCAAGAATGTGAGAAAACTGGATTATTAAAGCAGGAAGTGGCAGATAGCAAGTCCTTTGACGATTGGAAAATAAAAGTGTAAGCAGTTGCCCAAATTTGCACAAGGCTCTGCTGTTTACCGTCTACTTGACCTAGATCCTACAGCCTCATGGGGACCCCGAGGGAGCAGACATTTATCAGGTCCTGTTTACAGCTGAGGTAAAGGCAGACAGATGTGATCACAGAATACAGAGGAGCTGGCCAGCACTGCCAAAGGCAAAGCAGGCTGAATACAGATGGGGCAGCCACTGTCCATTTCTCCCTCCCTGTCTGGTGTTTGGGAAAGCACACAACCCTGGCTCCACTGCTGTCCACAGACTAAGGACCACACTGCCCGTTTCCTAACTCACCAGGCCAGGTTGGCCCCACCGGTTGATACCAGCGTCTCTGAGTATTCAGGGGTTCCACAAGCAGACTTCCCCTATCTCTCTTTAGACCCCCACACTCCACAGTTCTTGAGCTGCTCTGAGGAGTGGAGTGTTTCCTGGTTGACCAGATAGCATGTGGAAACCCACCAGTCCAGTTTGTGGGAACAAAGGTGGCCTTTGTCACTGAGATCACAGTATTTTATCAGCTGAGGTGGAGGCCGGCTGGGGAGGTGGTGAAAGGGGGCAGGTGCAGGGCTGTAGTGTGAGTGCTGTCCCCCGGTGGGCAGCCAGGGAACATACCACAGGAGGCAGGCTCTTCAAGCCTTTCCCTGTAGAGTCTGGAAGGTGAATCTGCCTGGAGGGGGTCCAGGGCTTTTGAGTCACCTTCCTCTCAAACAGTTGAAGGGGAAATTGCCAAGGGGACACATTCTAACCCTAGACCACCGAGGCTCAAGCAGTTAGCTGACTTCTTACTGTTTTCAGTGTTTGGTCATTTACAGAACCCGGAATGAAGTCTACTCCTTTTTCCCTGGTCTGGTGACTCTTATTTAAAGACATCGTTCCCTCCCCATATCCAGTCTTCCCTTATTCAGGGAGCAGTTCAGAAAGAAAAGTAGCTTTTTGATTTGGTCAGATGTATAAACAACATTGTTTTATGAGCTTCACCGCATCTGTCTTTGTGGAAAGTGGCTTCATCATACTAGGCCTGTGTAGGATAGAGAGACCTGGCTGTTAGGCCTCTCTTCTGTCCTAATAATGGCTTTGTTCATTACAGCATGGGCTAGCAGACAGCTTGGCATTATGGGAGGCAGAGTGGAAGGCTCTAGAGCAGCATACTATGTTGTAATCTTGGTCTGGTTTTCCTAACCTCTGTGTGCCCAGCCCTGTTACCCATGCAGTGAGTTTGACAGCCATGCCTCTTACATAGATTGTTGGGAGAATTGTGTGGGGTTTTTCTGTTGTCGACAGTTGTGGTTTCCCCCTAGTATGATGGAGAAAGAGCTGCTGCACCCCCAACATCAAGCATAATTGTTCCAAAGTGGGTTCAACAAGTTCTTTTCAAATAGACCCATAAATAACTATTGATGTCTTCTTTCTGACTTCCCAGAACAGCCCCACCCCAGCTGGATTCTCAGGCTGCCTGGCTCCCAGAGGCTTCTCTCACCATTCCCGCTGGCTTCTCTGAGCCAGCTGTGGGAGCCTGGGTGGCAGAAGCCTGGAATGGCACAAGTCCCATCTCTATGTGTCCTGTATTTTCTCTGTGGGTGCTTTCACTGTGGGCGGCCTAGCTTTTCCCAGGCAGCTGTGTGGGCTCCTCTCCAGAGCTGGGGAGGACAGGACAGGGAGCAGAGGAGATCGGCTTGTGTTTATAAGTTTCTGGGACAAGGAGAAGTGACAGCTGTTCAAGCAGTGGTTTCCAAGTGCTGGACCAGGGATTGCAGCATGTCCACTCTGAGAAACTTTTTGTGTGTGGGGGGGGGACGGACGGGGAAGAAGGGGTCAGGGGAATGCAGATTCCTGTGGTGCATGCATTTGCGAGGAAGGGTTATGGCTCTGATCTTGGCTAAAGATCTGTTTTAGCCAAGGCTGAGTGTAAGTGGAAATGGACAGAAATTTAGAAGAACATCTAGGTAGAATAACTGACATTTATGAAGGTTCTTAGGCAGGAGTGTGACTGGAAGGAACTAGGACTAGCAAGAACAGAGAGTAAAAAAGCGTCGAGGAGAGACTGGAAGAAGACAAGGAAGTTAGGGCAAAGGTGTTGGCAGCTAGCGCAGGGCCAGAAACCCTGGCATTCACTGGACCCATTCTGCATTCTCGAATTCTAAGTGGCGGGTGTTGTGATCTGAGCTCACTTTTGAACCTCTTACCTCCCACTGATGTGTGAAGAACCTAGTGCGCTTTGGTAGGTTTAAACACTGGTTCATTTTGTTATGTTCGTCAAAGCCATATTACATATGCCCCTTCTTTCCACAGGGTCCCCACTGTGCCTGTGAAGAACTTGAATGGGTCCAGCCCTGTCAACCCTGCCTTGGCAGGTAAGAACTAGCTGACCTGGGCTGGACTGGCTGAGGCTGAAACATCAGTCATGGGATAGCTAATGGACACTCATTTATAAAGAGGAGAGAATTTGGAGCCTAACTGAAGAAAATGGGAACTTAGGAGTTGAACAAGAAGACTTGGGGTGGTGCTAAAAGCTGAGCATGTCAGGGGTTTTGTGGGGATAGCTCATGTAATAAAGTGTTTGACAGGCAAGCATGAGGGCAGAACTTTTATTCCAAAATCCCTGTTTTGTTTTGTTTTTTTAAAAAAAAAAGAAAAGAAAAAAAGCAATTTGGGAATAATGACGTGTGCATATAATCCTACTGCTTGAGAGGCAGAGATAAGCATATTCCTGGAGTTTGCTGGCCGCCAGTCCCCTGGTGAGGTCCAGGCCAATGATATCTTGACTCAAGAAACGCGGTGAGCATTCTCTCTAACTAAGGTCCAAGGACATCATGGAATGGGGCGGGGGGGAGGTGAGAAGAATGGAAGATGTGGAAGATAGGAAGAAGACTGTACAAGTCCACCTTCTCAGTTTAGTACAGACAGCTCAGTTATGATCTTACATTAGCTGTGGCTGTTTACACGGGGCCTTCATGAGAATGGGCTTGCCATTGGTCAGGCATGGACTAGGGAGGGCCACAGAGAGAGCCCTGCATGTCCCTGTTGAACTAGTGGCTGTTGATAGATTCTGGAGGAGGGGGAGTTGTTGCCTTCAGTTATGTACTCCACTGAACTCTAATGGATAGTTCTGTACCCACGGTCACACAGAAGTCCCTGATCAGAATTAGTGATTCCCAAAACAGAAAGACGCGAATGTGGGGCAGGGGCTTTTAGACCAAGCGAGAGGGAGTTAAGAGGTGGGGGTCAGGGCAAAAGTACATTTAATTAATAATTTTTAAGTGAGTTGGTTGGCTTCTGAGGAACAACTTACAAAGCTGTCTTCCGGCCTTCACCCACGCGCACACCCAAGCGTGCATACAACTGTGCATGTCTGTATAGGGAACACATGAGTTAGGAAAACTGCTCAAGGGAGAAGAGTGGGTAAATAGGAGGGGGGGTGTGGGAATCTTGGGATTCTTCAGCGCTTCCTCACCCCTGCCCTGCCCCTTCCAGGAATCACCGGGATCCTCATGAGTGCAGCTGGATTGCCTGTGTGCCTCACTCGGCCACCAAAGCTGGTCCTCCACCCACCCCCTGTCAGCAAGAGTGAAATAAAGTCCATCCCAGGGGTCTCTAACACAAGCCGCAAGACCACCAAAAAACAGGCCAAGAAAGGTACAGGCCTCTTCTGATTAGATACGTGGAGTGAAAGTCTGGGCTTCCAGTCCTGTCTCTGCCTGCACCAAGGTCAAAGTCGTGGCTTTCCCCCCCCCCCCCTTGGCTGTCACTTCCTCCTCTGCCAAGCAGGCCTCAGTGGTAGATTTTGATGAGTCAACCAAAGTGGGTTGATCGGGTCAAAAAGAACTACCTGGAGACACATAGACATGAAAAGCAACAGTAACAGAAAAATAAAGATGTGAAGTGTTCTACAAAGACAGTATGTTAGAAGAGACACAAAGCTGGAGCCAGAACAGAAACCCTTAAGAAACCCTAACTTTGTTACTAGCTAGCTGGGTACAACTTCTGCTTTCTTGTCTTTGTAATGCCCAGTGCCAGCAGGTATATCCTGGAATGTGCCCGTGAAAAAACGGAAAAGCGACCGCTGTCTTACGTCTCTCTGGGCCTTGGGCCCAATGAACTCTCGTTCACAAATCTCTGTGTCCTGTTTGTAATCCAGCTGCTAAGGGAAAGGGTGCCCTCCTTGACCACAGAGACTCTGGATTGACTCTGTGGCTGACCGTCCTGCTGGCTGCTGTTGGTTATGAAATGATGAGCTTCTCCTCCATCATACAAACTTCCTGTGAAATTTGAGTCAGAATGTCTGTGTGTAGCACTTAGCCCAGGGTCTGGCAACAGGTAACAGGCTCTCAACTAATAGAAGCTCAATTCTTTCCAGAGACGCAGGGCATTGGTAGGGAAGGGCCTGCATCTCAGCTTTTGGCTGTTGTTGGCTGAACTTCCTCAAACCCTTGTTCTACTTTCCCCGTCTGTTTCAATTTCCCTGCTCCAGTGAACCCGTGTGCCTTGTTCTTCGTCCAGTCGGTCAGGGCAGGGGTTTACACTTCTGCCCTCTTCCTGGCACTATTAATAGCACCTATGTCTCCTTATCTGGCCGAGTGCTATCGGGCTGTACACACATCAGTCGTCAAAGCACCTGCTGCAGTAGGTGCTATCAATTGTCCTTATTTTATGGGTGAGAAAACAGCTTGCAGGCGTCAGAGGAGTAGCCCGAGATTCCATGGATCTCTTTGCTCTGTGATGACTTGTAGACCCATGCAAACCTATCCTCTGCCTTTGGGTTGGTCAGCTGACTTCTCAAATCCAGCTCCTGAAGATCCTTAGTTCCCCTGGCCCTTAGTATGCTTCCCAGAGCCTTAACCTCTCTCCACTGCTGGGCTGCATCTGCTGGCAGCAGCAGCACTATCTGAAGCCAGGGAGGATTGTCCTGAAACTGGGGGTCATAACTTCCTGCTTTCCCATAAAAATAATTTGAGTGTGACAGCATGTTATACAGCTGAGCTAGGGCTTAATGAGTTGTAAGAGAAAAGCAACCCGACTTCTGGTGTTTGAGGAGCGATGCAAAGTGTTTGCATTCCTGTTTTCTCCAGGGATCATTTGGGCAAGTCTACGCTCCTTGATTATCAGGAAGGAGAAATATAGTTTTATCTCAGTTATAATGCGGATTTACTGAAATAGACATGTCACAGAGTGGACGGGAGGAGGGCAAGACAGACAGGAGCAGCTCGTCCCTCCTCAAGCCATTTGGATTGATCTGGGACAACATCTCCTCTGCTCACACTCCTTAAACTATTGCAAAATAATTTGACCTCCTTTTCTCGTGTGTGTGTATGGGGGGGGGGCAGGGAGGAGACCAGAGGTCAACCTCAATATCATTCCTTAGATGCCATTTACCTTGTTTTTGAGACAGGGTCTCTTGCTTGCTTGGGGCTTTCCAGTCATGCTGGTTTGCTGGCTGTCAGCAAACCCCCGAGGTCTGCCTGTCTTCAGTTCCCTATCTCTGGAATTAGAAGCATGTTCCACTACACTGCCTTTTTCATCTGGTTTCTGGGGACCAAGCGTAGGTCCTCATTCTTGCAAGGCAAACACTTTACTAACTCAGCTCCCTCCGCCCCCTTTTCTCTGAACTTGCACCTCACTCTCCTCTCTGAAGAACATAGAATGGCAAGGCTGGTTGACTTATCTCCTCCGTCTTGGTGATATAGTGATTGTCCTGTCCCCATAGGTAAAACCCCAGAGGAAGTGTTAAAGAAATATCTGCAGAAGGTCCGGCATCCCCCAGAAGAGGTGAGTCCAGGGGGCACCGGGTAGGGTTCACTTTCCCAACCACCAAGTGCATGCCCTCTGTCCCCATGTTCCGCGGGATGCGGCAGGTGCTGTGTTCTCAGTCCTGGCTGGCACGGATTTAGCTGATGCCATCACTTCAAGGTTCAAGGTTTCCAGCTGTAGCCACGGTTTAACTTGCCCCATTTAGCAGAATTCTAAACGATTCTAAGCTGCCTTCCATGCTTGTCCGAGTTTAAGCTAAACAGTGTGCCAAGCCCTGTGAACTCCCTTTAGAATGGATTTGATATGGACCAGTGATTCTCACCTGAAATGATTTGCCCCAGAGGGAACACGTAGCCTTGTGTGGGGATTCCCTGGGTTGTGGTGATTGACTAGGGAGTGTGCTGCTAACACTTAGTGGGTAGAAACCAGAGAAACTTCTGAGCACCCCGTGAGGCCTGGAACAGTACCCACAGCAAAGGCTTCCCCTGCCACAGTCAACAGTCGTAGATTTATTTAGATACAAGCCCCCTCTAATTTGAAATATAATATCCTTACAGACAGGCATCATAAGCAGAGATTGTCATGGCATCGTTTGACAAGCAGCTGGAAGACACCAAGGAAGGGCAATGTAGCATCAAGGTTATAATGTAGTCAGTGAGCCCAAGTTGTCAGGTATAAGAATGATTTGAGGAATTTCTCTGCTGTGTAAAGCAAGACAGCACTATATTTAGAAACCGCCCCCACCAAACACAGCATCTCTGATGTGTGGACTTTCTAGAAGAGGGGCGAACCACTCATCTGATGCCTGCCATCATCCAGGAACTATTATGCCCTGGTTGTCCTGGCTGGGTGAGAGTTGATGCCTCTCTGTTCTTCACCTTCCAGGACTGTACCATCTGTATGGAGCGCCTCACAGCCCCTTCTGGCTACAAGGGCCCACAACCTACTGTCAAGCCTGACTTGGTGGGGAAGCTGTCCAGGTGTGGCCACATCTACCACATCTACTGCCTGGTGGCCATGTACAACAATGGGAACAAGGTTAGTGTCTGCGGTGGTTGGGGAGAGTCAGCCACGGTTTGTTCCTAGGTGTCCTTGTTCTCCCGTAAAATGGTTTAGATCATGTAACAGGTACTCCAGGTATATTTGATGCTTTACTTATTGCTGTGACAAACTTCTGGCAAAAGCAGTTTAAAGAAGTAAGGGCTTATTTTGTCTCACAGTTGAAGACAGCCTTATGGTGTTATGGTGAGGAAGTCGTGGTGGTGGGAGGAGCTTGAAGGAGCTGGTCCATGTGTAGGTAGGAGGCAGAGAGTGATGGATGCCGGTGCTCAGCTCATATTCCCCTTTTTATCTAGTTCAGGACTTCAGCCCATAGAATGGAGCTGTTCTCATTTAGATAGCTACAGCACATTCTAGAAACATGTCCCTCAAAGACATGCCCAGAGGTATGTTTCCATGGTGAATCTAAATCCCATCAGGTTGACAAGCAGGATTAACCTTCCCATCAGGGCAACAGGAATGAGCATTTTCACTGTTTTCTTCTTTGCTGTTTTCAGGATTAATTAGCCCCCACATTGCAAAATCTGTCTTTATTTTTCCTTTGGGCTAAGCTTATCCTCATCTCTAGTTTGGGTTGTATGTATGGTGGTCTAGCGGAGGTGAGCTTTGTCTATGAAGATCCTTTGGAAAATGGTCCACAGCTGAGTGATGTGGGTTCCCAGCAGTAAAAGGGGGCCTTCATCACAGTGCCGCACCCAGAGTGAGAATGTGTTCATTTATAACACTGTACGTGGACTCCCAATAGCTTTTATTCTCCATGGGAGTGACTTGGGTTGAAATTCATCTTTGAACAATGGCAGAACACTTAGATTGTCCCAGCAAAGGCGTTGTCAGTGTACCTGGTAATCCCTGCTGCTAGCATCGCTTGTTGGAGGATGAGACTAGGCCTCTTCCGTTATCTCCCATCCTAGTTTCACACATCTGGGTGTTTCCCTAAGTGACAGTTTTCCCTTTTCAGTATCTGGGCTTTTCGAAGTCATTGACTTGCATTCTTGCCCATGTCTGGACCCACCATCACCCGCTTCTGTTGGGATTGAGAACTACTCATGTCTCTGGACTCATCAGCTCACAAGTCTGAGATTTATTTTCACAGTGCCACTCAGCTTCTTACTCACCCAAGAACATGTCTGGATTTTTTAGGGGTCTTGTGCAGTGGGGATGAAACAGTAGCTGTTCTCTGCTGCGCGCGCGCGCGCGCGTGTGTGTGTGTGTGTGTGTGTGTGCTCACATGTACATGAGGAGGCTGGAGGACACCCTCTGGTGTTATCTCGAGAACACTACCTACCTCTTTGGAGACAAGGATGTCTTGTTGCTCACGAATTAGGCTAGGGTGGCTGGCCACCAAGTGCCAAGGATCCTCTTGTCTCCACCTCTCCAGCACCAGGTTTCAAGTGAATGTCCCCACTTCTGGCATTCTAGGGATCAAACTCAATGACTGTAAGCAAGCTGCTTTCCTTCTGTGCCAACCTTCCAGATCAATGACTACTTCACACATGTTATGACTGTTATTCACAATTGTATCTCTGTTTTATTAGGGCTCTCATTTCCCCCTTTCATCTTTACATAGGGTTGGATGGCTAACCTTGTCATCTTGCTTGGTGTCCAGATGTCCTTTGTCATTGGTGAAGTGAAAGAGTCCATGTCCCCTTTCATAGCCCAGGGCTGAAATCTTTTATGAGAGCCTGACCATTTCAGAGATCTTTTGGAGATTTTGGGGTGTCAGCACATTCATTCCCCTTCGGATGACTCTCCCCAGACTGCCCAGTCACTCTATGTATGTCTGGAAGGCTCCAAACATGTTTCTCAACCATGCCCTTTGCTCTCCCTCCCAACAGTACTTTGAAGCATTTTTATTCTCTTAAGCACATTGAAGCATGGGAGAGAATGGACTCATTTGCCCTAGGCCTTGAAGCAAATTAAAGCTAGTGGAGAAAGCGGGGCCCTGGTTTCAGAGGATGGTGACTATGAATATTAGCTGTTATTTAAAGCAAGCCAACCGTGGATGGAAACGTGCCTAAATATCTCTGAGAGTGTCTCATCTCCTTCTTCCTAAAAACTCCAGGTGTCTGTCCGCCAGGGCCTTGGTCCCAGCTGACTAGCATCATGTTCTGCATACTTGCTTGCTGCCCGTGCTTGCTTCCTTCCCAGTTACTCCCCTTCCTTCTCTCGGAACCTGACCGTTCCCTGTGCTTCCTGGGACCTCTTGCAGGTTATTATCAGCCCTATCAGGTGACTCTTCACCAGATCCTGCTATGAAACTACAACCGTTTACATTACTGTCTCCACAACCAACATTCAAATCAGTTTTTATGGCTATGACAGAAATAATGGGAAAACAACAGAAAATGAAGGAATGGTTTTGTTTTTGGGTTTTTTGTTTGTTGTTTGTTTGTTTTTGACTCACCATTTCTGTGGTTGGCAGAATTCTTTGCTGTGGGTTTCTGCTGAGGCAGACCGTGGCCACAAGCACATGAGGTGTGAATGGAAGAAGTCTGTCACTGGGGGCAAGCCCTGCTTGGGTATATCATGTAGCCTCTGTGTGTGTCCTCCTCTGTCCCTCCCTCCCTCACCTCCTTTTCTTCCTGCCTTTCACACCTACTGGCTGCCGTCATATCACTCCACCAAACGCGTAATCTACTGACGAGGTCTAGCCAATCACTCTACGAAAGCTCCCCAGGGAGAAAATGGTTCCGTAACCCATGAGCCTTGAGGGACAAACTGTCATGACCTGCTATGTGGTGTAGGGCAGAGACTGGGGAGATTTAGGGACTTCACTGGAATTCCAGCCCTTGCTGGTGGCAAGTACTTCCCCCTCTTGATGTCCCTCAACTTCCTTTTCTCTGGGGGAAATCTCAGTTCCTTCCCCGCTGGGGCCAATTTATAACTGTTTCTAAGAGCCTTCTTGTTGTTGGGTTTTTTTTTTGTGTGTGTGTGTGTGTGTGTGTGTTTTGTTGTTTGTTTTTGTTTTTTTGTTGTTTTGTTTATTTGCTTGAGACAGGGTTTCTCTGCGCCACTCTGGCTGTCCTAGAACTTGCTCTGTAGACCAGGCTGGCCTCAAACTCTCAGAGATCCACCTGCCTCTGCCTCCTGAGTGCTGGAATTAAAGACGTGCGCCACCACCGCCGAGCAAGAACTATTTTCCTTAAAGTCACTTTTGTTCTTTTCCAACACAGGCCCCAGGCATTAGTCTCTCCATGGATGTAAGCACACTGATCGCATTTAAATATGACATAGGCTAAACATTTTCTCTACGCATCTCACTTAACTTTCATTAGCCCAGTGAAAGAGGAAGTTTATAGCTCTTGTTCTGCAAGGGAAAGGAGACAAATTAAGTTGTCCAAGGCTGAAAGGTAAAGTTGAGACTCAAATCTAGGAAGATTTACTTTAGAATTCACACTCTGAAGCTCTACACTTCTAGGCTGCCAGTTCTGACTCAGTTCTGACCTGATGTGGGGTCCACAGTTTTTTGGGTGAGTCCGGGACTCAGCTCTAAAGCAGTTACCATGTGTTCTACCCACATGGGTATTAGTTAAATCGCAATTCCCCGTGTAGGCTTCCTGCCCTGGTTAGCGCTTCCTCTCAAGGACTGGTGTTCTGTGTGCCTCAGCTGCTTGTGCCATTTTCTTCCTTATAATTTAGAGAAAGCCAAAACGGCCTAGGTAGCTTGAGAGGGCTTCAGGCCTGTTCTCTGTCGGGTGAGTTTTGTCTCTTGAGGCCTTGGTCTCTGGTGCCTTGGGAGGCTGAAGGAAAGGTCATGACCGAAGCAGTTTCCTAATTTGACTGAAGTGCAACTTTTTTTCCTTAGGATGGGAGTTTGCAGTGCCCAACATGTAAGACCATTTATGGTGTCAAGACAGGCACCCAGCCTCCAGGGAAGATGGAGTACCACCTCATCCCACACTCCTTGCCTGGCCACCCGGACTGCAAGACCATCCGAATTATCTACAGTATCCCACCTGGCATTCAGGTGAGTCCACCCTTGGATGGTGTCGTTTATGATGGCAACTTTGAGTGTCTGTGGGTAAAATGTTAGACTAGGAAAAACCTCCTTCCCATCCTTGTCCCGGTCCTGCGCCTCACCCCCCTGGCTCCCCCTTCACCCCCATTGTTCTTAATTTTCTGTATCCTTCCAGCGTTCTTTGTATATACTCAGAGCAGACCACATCCTCCCCTCCCGTACAAAGGCACAAAGAGCTACATTTAGGTGCATTGTTTCACACTCTGCTTCTTTCAGCTCACAATATGGACCTTAGATTTTTTTTTCTGTGTTCATATAAAATGTCCTCATTCTTTCTTACGTCTGTGTAATAATCCAGTGTATATATAATTTATTTCAACATCTCCACTCGCTGTTTAGATTGTGGTCTTCTGCTCCAGCAGATAATGCTATCACTAATAACCTAGTACACCCGTGACCACATCTGTAGGATAATTTCCCGGAAGCAGGATTTCTTGATCAAACAGTTATTTGCATTAAAAAAAATTATGGTTATGCTTGGCTTTGTCTTTGGTGGCATCTCTTTCCTCTCTGGTTCAGGAACATTCTGGGTAATAATCCCATGAGTCAGTGCGACATGGCCCTTCCCTCATACAATGGAGCCTTTCCTCGGTGTTCTTGGGAGCAGACCGGACTCACCCCTTAGCAAACATTGTTTAGCTCGTACTCTCTCTCTCCCACCTGTGTCTTCCTGCTTGTCTTTGGTCTGACAATGTTTGCATGTGGGTTATGCCCAGGTGTGTTAGGTGCGGGTGAAACAGTGTTAGAATTGGTTCAGCCTTTGATCCCTTGAAGCCAGTGGGGCCAGGAGGACGGTAAACAAATACATGACAAAGTGCTTCCAATGTAATGTCATGAGGAAGTAAAGCAGGGAAGTGTGATAGTTCATAAAACACGCACCTTCCCCGGGGCACATGGGAGCCAGGCAGAGCAAGATAATCACCTCCCCCTTCTGATCTGGAGAGCAGAGACGGATCTGCACCACTGATGAAAGTGACACAGATGGGGGGGGGGTGCGGGGCTTCAAAGTCTTATGACCCCGGGTCCCACTTCCTGTCTTCCAGCTGCCTCGTTTTTTTTTTTTTTTTTTTTTTTTTTTCCATCTGTACTGCTGGGAATCTGCTAGGCAGAGAGCCAAGTAGGGGAGATCTGTCCAAGTGCACATCTCAGGACCCACTACTACCAAAGGGCTTAGGGCCTGGCCTCCTGCTCTCTGATTGGCTGAGATGTTAGGGTGAGGAAGAGGTGCTTATATGTGGTCTCTCTGGAAGCTGGGAGGAGACTTTCTGGTGCAGGGCACTCTCTAGTGAAGCCATGAAAGACAAAGAATAGTCTGTATCTGTACTCTGTACATTTTTATCGGGAGGAGGTAACAACTGTTGAGAAAAACTGCATGTTTATGAACAGTAGAATATACTCAGTTAGGAGGTTGGGAGCTGAGACTTATGAAAGGCAGGGAAGAAGGAACCTGATGAGGTTGTAGGGGACAGGTCACAGAAGACCTTAAATGTGAGGGCCACGCATGGAGACTGGCTATGAGGAGACCCTGGAGACTGCTTGTAAGATTAGGATTATGAAACATCATGTAAATTTGTAGTGGCATTTCAACTGTATTTTAATAAATAAAGCTTGCCTGAGGATCAGGAGTAAAACAGCCACACTGGTCAGTCTTACAGCCAGGCAGTGGTAAAACACACCTTTAATCCCAGTATCCGCACTAGTTACCATAGAAACCGGGCAGTGCATGCCTTTAATCCCTGAACTAGAGAGGATTATAAGACAGGAGGAGACAGCTCTAAATCACATTCTCATTCTGGATCATCACTGAGGTTGAGGTCAGAGCCAGTGGCTGGCTGCTTTGCTTTCTGGATCTCCAGGCTGAACCCCAATTTCTCTCTGTGGGTTTTTATTAATCATGCGTCAGTAATTGACATTATGCTGTAGGAGGCCAGTGTGACTTGAGGACAGGAGATGAACAGAAATAAGACGACTGCAACATTTCAGGCTCCCCCATAAGGGGAGGGCCAGGGTAAGAAAGTAAGATGTGGTTGGCTGTTGCTCAGGGGAGACGTACAGAATGATTCTGGGGCAGCTGCTGGAGTGGTAGGGAAGAATGGAAACGTGGGAGTGAGCTGGCAAGATGGCTCACTTGTAAGGATGCTGCTGCCAGTTTTGACAACCAAGAGCCGGTCCCGATAAACCAAGTTCAGTCCCTGAACTCCATGAGTGGAAGGAAAGAGCCGACTCCTGCAGGTTGCCCTCTGACCTCCATGCATGCACTGTGGAACACACACACACACACACACACACACACACACACTAAAAAGAAAATGAAAAAAAGCTCAGCAGGGGTCAAAAGGTCGAGGAGGTGGGGCATCTATTGAGAATGCCACACTTAAAAGTCTCCAGAATCAAGGGAGAGAGAAAGCCTCTGCAGAGGGGCCAGTGCTGCCTATTCAGGGCCCCGGTGTTGTTCCTTTTGGAAACTACAGCTCCCAGATTCCTCCTGGATTACGGATACCTGCGCGCGCGGGCGCGCACAGGTGCAGGACGTTTCTCCCAGATACCCTTGCGCTTCTAGTTAAAAAGCGAGCTTCCACGAGGTCTCGCTCTCTTGCCCTTTACCCTTGTGTGTCTTGCACACCTGTCCCTTATCGTGTCCCCCCCCATTAAGGCGCACCCACGTGGGAGCCGCGTGTCTGTGTCTCCTCCTTTCATGCGTGTTTTGTCTGTCCTGTGTTTGTCTCCACACACACCCGCTTTAAAAGAATAATACCCAGCACCTCCAGGAACACTCTGGCTTGTGAGAGGAAATAATCTCTAAACAGTCAGATGCTCTGCAGACTCACTACTTTGAGTCAGTGGCAAGATGTTCAGTGTTGTGTCCCTTGACGCTCCAGGGACAGTGCGGGCTTGGGCTTCGCTGAGCTGAGCTCTTCAAGCTCGACTTTCACTGCAGAAAGTGAGTCCCTTTGGGAGAAGCTTTGGGCCCGGCTGAGGCAGAGTCGTGACTGCTTTACCTGGCGACAAGCCCAGACTGCACAGCCTTACTGGGTCAGTGCCACTCAGGCTGAGCTGGACGCACACACAGCAGCCCCAGGCATCAGAGAAGCAGTTGGAGCTGTGGTCAGGCTTGGTCCCTCAGTGAGGAAGCCTACCTTAGAGGTGTGTGGCCGTGGGAATGCCGCACATTTGTAGAGATTTATTCTGAATGTGAAGTCAAGTCTGTCAGACTCTTTTACTCCGAAGGAACCTCACTGCTTCCTTTGGCTCACAGTGACATTTGTTTATCTTTTAACTTTTTTTTTTTGTATGATCAAAATAAACTGTATACAGATACAGAATTTCCAAGCAATAAATAAAAACATACTTTAAAATTTTTTAGTGTTTTTTACTCTTTGGCATCTTTTATACATGTGCACACTGAGTTTGAGCGTTTTCAACCCCTGTTGCCCTCACACCCCTCCCTCTCGCCTACCAAAATCCTGTCCCCCGACAGCCCCTCTCCTTTTTCTGAGCCAGTGAGTTTAATTTCATTCATTCACTCATTTGCTCACCCAATACCCAGCTGGCAGGCGTTTATGGATCTGCGGGAGGGCGTGTGCCAACAGCTGCCTAGCACTGTCAGCATTGTGTGGCTTGCACTCACAGCGAGCTTTAACTAAGGTTCTACTTCCAAGGGGGTCAGGAATGTTCGGAAATGATAGACGGGCATGTGTATAGGTGGAAAGTTGTCGTACCAACCTCCGTAAACTTCTCAAAGGGACCAGTGACTCTGATGGGCCCTGTGATAGCTCTGTCAGTGTCGCACAACTTAGAATCACCCAGCAAGAGAATCCCGTGAGGGACTGTAGAGATTGGTTTATAGGTGTGCCTGTGGGGGATTTTCTCGATTGCACTAGTTGAGGTGGGAAGACCTGCCCACTGTGAGTGACGTCATTCCCTAGGAAAGAGGGCTCTGTCATGCAGAAGAGCAGAGGGGGTGAGACTGCTGTGCATGTAGTACATTATTGCTCTGTGCTCTTGACTGTGGGTCAATGTTCTCGCTACTTTGACTTCCTCACAAGGATGGACTGTAACCTGTAATTGTGAGCCAAATAAGCTCCCTTTCCCTTAAGTTCTTTGGTCGGGATATTTTGCCATATTAACAAAAATGAGACTCAGACAGACACTAATGGGGAAGCCTCTTACCTCGTTCTTCTTTGCTGTAGCTATAACAGAATCTCTGAGCTGAGTGATTTAAAAAAAAAAAAAAAAAAAAAAAAAGAGGTTAATGTAACTCATGGTTCTAGAGCATGGGAAGTCCAGAAGTTGTGCCTGGTAGCGTTGGGCAAGGGGGAGCAAATAGACAGCAGATGTGTTCCGCAGAGGAGGACACAAGGAGCCGCCTTGCTTTGCAAGCAGCCTGCTTTCACAACATCAGTCAGTCCCCTGAGAGCAAGACGAGAACTCTCCGAAGAAAGGCATTCATCCCCTCCGACAGCCTCATCGCCTCTTACACGCCACAGCTGCCCACAAGGCTGCACTGGAGGCCAAATTCCAGCAGGAGTACCCTAGCATCTGGGTTCAGACTCCGTTCTCTGTTCATGTCTTTCCCACTCGGTGTCCTGAGATGACTTGCATAGTAAAGTATTGGGATATGATAGTTTAAGTGCCTCAAGATTTTCGGTCCTGAACATCACACTCGATGTTGTTGAATAAGGAAGCAAAACCCATGAAGACCAAGGAGAAGACCATGCAAAAAACTCTGATCGCATGGCTTGTAGCTCAGAGAACTTTATTATTTCGAGTAATTGGTTTGAAAGTCCAGTGCACAAGCCTCAGAAAAGATAGGATTAAGTCAGTTTGGGCAAAGGCAGTACGTCTCGCAGCCAGTTAGATTCTGTGGGCTGTGATCTTCGCCATTCATCAAACAGTAGAATAGGTGGTATTGGCACTGATGCTGATAAAATTTCCCGTGCTCTTTCTGAAGATCGGCCCCAAACTCACTGAGCATGGGCAGTGCCCCTTAAGGGAGTGCTCCAAATCAGTCCTGCCAAAGGGGAATTCTATGTGGTCCAGCAGGGAGCTAGCCGCTGCGGGCCAAACTCAGGTCACATAATGTGTGACAACTTAGACTGAGCATTTTTAAAAAAAAAAAAAAAAAATTTGTTATTATTATTTTTGGGGTGGGGGTGGTTGTCCTCTCCCTGAACTCTGTGGCTCTTGTTATTGTCCCACCAAGCCTGAACTAGCTTCTCATCAGAAATGTTTTGCAAGATGCCTTTGTTTTCTTTCTGCTTTCAGGGACCAGAACATCCAAATCCTGGGAAGAGCTTCAGCGCCCGTGGCTTCCCACGACATTGTTACCTTCCAGACAGCGAGAAAGGGAGAAAAGTAAGAGCAGATGTTCTATAGTAGGGATGGCGGTTGATTTTGTTTCTGCAATGCACAGAGAAGAGGGACCTGGTTTAACTGTGTATATGCAGTAGTGAGGTCATATTGGAGTAAACCATTGGTAAGAATTGGTATCATTAGAATGTTTTATTTGATTTTTTAAAAATCTCTTTCTCTGTGTTACATGTGTATGATATCTGTGGGATTGCAGACACTCATATTCCACAGTATACATATGGAAGTCCAAGGACAACTTTCAGGAGTTAGTTCTCACCTTGTGCTTTGAGGCAGGGCCTCTCTTGTTTCTTGCTGCTGCATCGCCTACTGCAGACTAGCTGGCCTGAAAGCTTCCAGGTGATTCTTCTGTCGCTACCACCCATCTTTCACAGCAGTGCTGGGATTCTGATGTGAACCACTGCACCCAGCTTTTAACATAGGTTCTAGGGATTCGAACTCAGGTCACCAGGCATGCATAGTGCTTTCACCCACAGAGTCATCTCACCAGCCTGATTAGAATACTTTTGCAGATAGTTGGGAGTGGAATGGTTTCTTCTCCTCTCCTCTGAGTAATACTGGCAATAATTCACCTGTGTTCGGATCTTTATCTGGAGCCCTGCTGTTTAAAGCTGGTCCTGGGGAAACACTAATGTTAACTCCTAAGAGCACAACAGAAACTCAGAACTGGAACCTATTTCATCTTCTCAGGATCCCTGGTTGATCTAATCTGAGCGCTCTTGAAAGCTTGAGCAGAGTGTGCTGGGATCTTTGTTGGTGGGAAATTATTTTGTTTGTTTTCTGGATATCTTGTAATTCATTATCAAGGCTTTTCAATATTTTACTTGGAAGGACTGGATTTTCAGAGTCTTGCCTGATGTCAAGAGGGCTAAGAACATTAGTCTTGGGGACATACTGGGGAAATGTAAGAGGCATGCTTTTTTAGTCAGCCTACTCAACCCATGTCTGTCTTTCTACATTTCAAGTGTTAATGGCTATGTTGCTGCGGTGGGTTTAAAGCTTGAGCATATGCGAGCGTGTTTGAGTTCCAGCAACGTGCCACAGACCATAGAGTGGCTCATAAACAGCAGATGTTTATTTCTTGTACTACTGGGGTCTAGGAGGTCCAAGATCAAGGTGCTGGCAGAGTCAGAATCTGGCAAGGGTTCACTCCCTGCTCATAGACAAAGCTTCTTCTCTCCGTGTCCTCAACAGGGAGAGAGGGCAAAAATTTTCTTCCCAGTCCCTTTTTATTAGAGTGTTGATCTCATTCATTGGCATTCATGTTTGTGACTTAATGAATCCCAGAAAGCCCCATATTCTAATGCTTACTTTGGAGCTGGTGACGAGAAGTTCACATGAATTTAGGGGGTACATAAGCACTTACCCCCAGACTTCCCATGTGTCTTCCTGTTTTGGAAGCCAGACTGAAGAGTTTCCAAGAAATGTAAATGAGACCATAGAGTGGAATCCTCTGACAGGATTCCAATTGATAAGGAAAACGCTAGACCACAGGGATACAGGAAGGCAAGATGTCTTCACGGTAAACAAAATGAGCAGTTTGAGAGTCCCAGAAAATAGTCAGGAAGAGATTCCTGCTCAAGCTTGTGTACATCCACCCCTTAATCCTGGCTTATTGCTATTTTAAAAATTCTTATTTGAAAATATGTCTGTGTAAAAGAAATATCTCTGTGTGTGCAGCCTTTACACCAAATGTAAATTGTCCTGGAATTTTTCATTCTCAGCTGCCCAGAGATTTCAACCCAACTCCAAAGTGGAGGCTTCCGTTTCCCCCTTCTGTCTCCTAATACGCCTGATCTTCCCATACTGCTTCAGTGTCACGGGGTGTGGATATGTTCTGTCCTTCCAACGAGGAAAAGAATAACAAGGACAGCACCAAGAAAGATGCACGAGGGCCCTGTCCTCAAACTAAGAGTGGGAATTAAGGCAGCCAACTGTTCTCCACCAAGAGACAAATTTCTGTGCCTCAGCCCGAGATCTGCAGCTGAATGTCCCCACTGTGAAGTCTGCTGTTCAGACTGCAGTCATGGGCTGGGAGTGTGGTTCAGGAGGTAGAATACTTGCCTAGAATGTGGGCAACCCTGGCTTTCATCCTCAGCACTTAAAACCGAGCACCTTACACTTGCCTGTAGTCTCAGTGCTGAACCTGTTAAGTTTGAGGCCATGCAGGGATGAGTGATACTGTCTCAAACAAGCACCAGACTGTACCCACGTGGCTGAGGGCTACCCTCTTTCCAGGCCTTCCTCTTTGTGTAGCAGCAGACCTCAAACCCTTGGAAGCCAGGCTGTGCACAGTCACCATCTTGAATTCGTGCTTTCAGTGGCTCATTCCTCCCCGCATTGCCTTCCCAGCCTCTTACTCCTCTGCTAGTCCTACAGGAGGCTGCCTCATTTTTTTTTTCTTGACACCATGTGTTATCCCAAAACACAGTTTCTGGCATCACGCGCCTTTGTTTAAAAGTAATTAATTTTTCAAGCAGCACATGATGCTTCGATGGCCTTTCCCTGTCTTCTTTACAAGGAATACTTGTCTTGACTTAGCATGAGTCCCCACCGGACGAGATGCACGTAACCCATCTCCTCTCACCAATTCCTTTAGCAATGCCATTATTAGTCGGTGCCCTTCATCCCCACAGCTCCATGATCCTAAACTTGGGCTTTGTTGCGGGTTTTTGCAGCTGCGCCATACTTTTTTGTTCTGCCCTTCCTAGTGATTCAGTGAGAGACCCTGTCTCAAAAACGAAAATGGGTGGAGAGCCCTCCAGTAAAACACAGCTCCTCCGGTGGCTTCCGAGTGCACGCACATACAGTTGCATGTTTCCACACATGTGCATATGTTTACGCCACACATGCACACCATCTTTGGGGTGGGTGACCTGTTGGCATTTTATAGATAAACAAAGCTCAGAAAGATGTTTGAAGTTGTCGGAAAGTGACAGAGCTGAGATTCACTGTAGAATGCCCAGACTCCAATTTCAAATCTCTTTCTCTTCTTCTGGGTCACTTAGAAGATCGCGATGAAGGGGCGGGGGCGGTTGGGGACGTTGGGATGAACCCACCATCTGAAGACCAATACGGAACAACAGCCTGTGGTCTCTCCACTCTGTTGCCCTAGGTTCTGAAGCTGCTTCTGGTGGCCTGGGATCGCCGTCTCATCTTTGCCATTGGAACCTCCAGCACCACGGGCGAGTCCGACACCGTCATCTGGAATGAGGTGCACCACAAGACAGAATTCGGCTCTAATCTCACCGGCCATGGCTACCCAGATGCCAATTACCTGGATAATGTGCTGGCCGAACTAGCTGCCCAGGGTATCTCCGAAGACAGCACTGCCCAGGAAAAAGACTGAGGTGGGGCGGGGGGAACTGGGGGACTACATGGCAGGAAGTGAAGAGAGTCCCATGGAAGTTGATGCCATGCTTCCTGACTCCCTTGTTTTCTTTCTTGTTCTGTCTCCACCTCGCACCCCTCTTGGTCACAGAAGGAACTAGATTAAGGTGATGTCATTCATAAGCTTTATCCAATACAAACAGGATGTGGGATGAGGGCCACCCCCCACCCTTTGTCCCCATGGAGTTTTCAGTGCTGGGAAGGCAAGAACCTGCACCTCTCCTTTGCCCTAAGTAGGGGATGTGGTCAGCACACTTAAGGTATGGGCAGTGTCGAGGCACTCCGTACCCTGGCCTTGTGAAGCGGAGAACCCGTGCCTCAGCTGGCTTCTTGCTGCTTCCTCTCTGCTTTGATAGCAGAGTTTCTGCTTTTCTTTTTTCTTCCACTGGAGTCAGGGAGCTCTCACTGTGCAAGACTGGGGAGAGAGGTATAGACTGCTGTGACATCAGAAATTGGATGCCTTGGTGTAGGTTAAAGGAAGCAGTTCACGCCAAGAGGGTCAGAGTCAAAAGCCTCTGGGAGCGTGTTCAGCTCTCAGTGTAGTCCCTGGCTTCTCTGGGCCCTGCCTCTTCTTCCTCATGCCGTTGACCTGTCCGTAGGCATCTGGTTCTCTCACGTGGATGGAAGGACTCAGGGATCCCTCTCTGGGGTGGCATCGTGTGATGCTGTTTCCAGCCCCTGTCTGATCAAACCAGAGCCTGCATCCCACTGAGCATCTGCACTATCCTCAGGGAGGGGAGCCCGTAGCCTCCTTCCCAACTCAGACCAGCTCAGTTTCATCAAGTCACTGTGAGTTGGAGCCCATGCTTGTCTCTGTGTCTTCTGTGTAGGCACGTATGTTTGTGTGGGTGTGTGTGCATCCCTGGGCTAGGTTGTTGGGAAAGTCCCATCATGTCTCCGAATTCTCTTTCACATATCAAATCCCAGTTCCGTTGGGGATCCAACAGTGAAGGTGTGGCCCCTCCTTTGAGTTTTCCCACCCTTTACCAGCCCATCTCCTGATCAACTTGCACCCTGATGTGCACAGACCTGCACATGGGAAGATGTGTTGATGCAAGAGCTACATTGACCCTTCTCTTTCTTGTTAATATTAGATCAGAACCAACCTCCATCCAGTCTTGTTTGTATAAGAGCTCAGTCCATCTCCATGCAGATTTGCTAATTCAAGGCCAGAGATGCTACCGGTCCTCTTTTCTTCAGCCCCCATCTAATACAGGTTGACCAAAAGCATTGTGGTGGGAACCTCTTTAGTTCATCCCTAACATGGTTAGGAACACATTGTAGTCTTCTCTAACCCTACATCTGGGTGTTGTCCCAAGATCCAGTCTGTCCCCAACGTCTGCTCACCTTTGACTCCATTAAAGAATGGACTAGGTATCTGGTAAGAGAGAATGAAGAATCAAAAAGGGAAATCAGTGTCCCCTTCGGAAGTGGGTTCTTTGAACTGTGTTTGGGGAAAGTTCCTCTGAATGCTAATTCGAATTTGTATAACTCATGTTGTGGATTTGATGTGTATTTGTGTATGTGTGTGTATATATATACATATATACAGCAAATATATGTGTATATATTCATATATAACTCGTAATATTTGAAAGGTGTTGATGCTTGAAGAAGAAACAAAGAGAGAGGAATAAAGCAAGCTTCCACAGTGGTACTTAAGTTGTAACTGGAGTCCACACTTTCACAACACCCTGCTCCAGACATGCCTCCTTTGGGGCCTCCAGCATTGTTGATAAGGCTGTGGCCAGGAGAATCAGTCTAGTTCCCTGGAACATACTGGTACTGAGTTTTCTTTCACTCTACAAATGGCTAATGGAACTGTAATTGCTTCCCACTAGGGGGAGCTGAGGTAGGGGAAGTGTTTGGCCATCTTTTTCCAAGGCCTTCTATTAGTGGGAGGCCATTTTGTCTTACTTAGCAGACCATGAAGGAGACCGTTGAGTTCACTGAGCCCGGGGAAAGTTTCTGCCATAATAGAGAAAGAAGCATCAGAACTAAATGGAAGACATAGCTCATGGAATTTAAAGTCACAGTCATGCCTTTTATCAGGTTAACATATTTCAGAAATCATCCGAGCCTCATTCAGGGCTTACATAGTCATTTTTGCCTTCAGTGCCCTTGGTACCTAACTGGCCCTGCTTCTTGGCAGCAGGGATAGGAAGATAGATGGGAGTCCATGGGTAGGAAAATGAGGCCGCGGGAAGCAAAGAGATAGAAACAGGCTCTGAGCTGTGGAATTGGGCAGTGGGAGATGTTCTCACAAGGCAGAGGAGAGGGGTGGCACAAGGCAGAAGAAAGAGAACCCAAGAGGACTTCTAAGGGAGCGGTTGTCCTAGGGGGCGAAATGAGAGTTAGTCTTCATACCTTCAAGAATTCCTGCAGAGGACTCTGGAATGGCTGTGCGTCGTTTGCTTTTGCTCTGAGGGGCTACCTCACCCTCATCTTTCAACTTTTTGGGCTGAAGGAAACTTGGAAGTCGCAGTAGTGTACTGTCAGTCAAAACGATTTTACCATGCTCTTTCTCTTATGCCAGCCCCAAAAGGTACAGGACGGATTTCAGTGCGATTGTGCCCTGGGCACCAGCTACATTGACTACAGTTTTTACCCCAAGAGAAGCTCCAATGTGCTCTGCTGGGCCAAGCAGGGGACCCCATGCTTTTCCTTTCACAGTCTCAGCACCAGCAGCCATGTTCTCCCTGCCTGGGACTCCAGGGATGACAAGTGGGATTCGTCACACCTCATGAGACGCTGATCCCTCGCAGTTATGTGCTATATTTGTGGTTGTCTGTGCCTTTGTGTTCCACTCCCCTCTCCTTTTGTAAGATTCAGACTTCTCTGTGGTTTTAAACTTGGTCAAAAGTACTTGCCCTGATATTGCACTGTTGTGTGCATGAGAGGATGGAGAGAAGGCTGCCTTGGCTCAAGAAATAATCACTGCCCCCTTTGCTTATTGGTGGTCACTTATATCTCAGTGGGGGTTTCCCGGAGAGGGCTGGTGAAGGTCCAGAGGTCAGGTGTTCTGTTTGTAACTGATGTGCTTTGAAGTTCTTGGTGTTGCTCTACGAGAGGACATCGCCCCCTGGTGCTCATGAGGTGTATTGCAGAACAATAAACTGCAAATGAACAAGCACAAACTGTGGTTACTCTGAAGGGCCTGCTTTTGTGGAAGTGCTTTGGCACCTGTCTCAGAAGCATGTGGATTACTTCCTCTACGTGTGAGCAACCTCAGTCCGACTAGCTAGATAAAGGGAAAACCCCTTTATTTTCTAAAACTTTCCACATCTCTTCTACCCACACATTTGACCCTGCTTGATTCTAGGTTCCCCTCAAAGAGACAAACCGCATGGCAAGGGAAATGAGTGTATGAACTTTGGGGGGGGGGGGAGATTATTCAGAAAATGGACATTGGCTTCCTGTGTGTGAGGAGTTGCATATGGGGGTGCATATGTGTGAGGGGATGCATTGTGTGAGGGGATGCATGTGGGGGTGCATATGTGTGAGAGGGTGCATGTGTGTGACGGGATGCATGTGTGTGTGAAGGGATGGATGTGGGGGTGCATATGTGTGAGGGGATGCATGTGTGAGAGAGAAGATTCTTGTGTGTCTGCGGTGGGGGATGCATATATGTGTGAAGGTGTGCTGGTCTTGGAACTCACATACTGAGGTCAAAGGTTGACATTAGATATCTTCCTCTGTCTTCTGCCTTATAATTTGAAGGAGGGTTCTCAGTGCACCTGGAAATGACCATTTTGGCTAGAATAGTTTGGCTGACCAGTGAGCCCCAAGAGTCACCTGTCCCTACCTGCCAGTTCTGGGGCTACAGGGCCATGCCATCATGCATCTTTTTTTTTTCAAGACAGGGTTTCCCTGTAGTTTTGGAGTCTGTCCTGGAACTAGCTCTTATAGGCCAGGCTGGTCTGGAACTCACATAGATCCGCCTGCCTCTGCCTCCTGAGTGCTGGGATTAAAGGTGTGCGCCACCACCGCCCAGCAGCATCATGCATCTTTTACATGGATGTTGGGAATACACTCAGATTCTCATGATTAAATAGCAAGCACTTTACTGAACAGTCTTCTTGTTCCGGAATACTGACGTTCACTGTCAGGCAGGTTTTTTTCCTCAAATAATTATTATTAAGCATCCGAGTAATCATAGGAACACAAAAATTAGAATCAACTGTCCATCCTCCTTTGTCACCAAACTGTGGCTCCATCTCTGAAATCCTATGGAGTGTGGCTTTCTCAGAAACCTGCCCTGGTGTTTCTGTAGACCCCAGCCTTAGAAAGTCAGAACCTAGCGGAACCCCAGAGCCCCACCCAGGGCTTCGTGAAGTGGCTTGAACCCCAACATTCCGGCTTCATACAGATGAGCACCCAAACAGAAGGTTGCTGAGTACACATTTTAATGCATATTTGCACACATTCTTGTTAGTAGAACTACATGTTTATAGAACAGATATTAAACATTTCCATAGGAAGTTGGTGCCTTAGGTCTAGGAGTCTCCTGCTGTGCTTTGCTGTACAGACTCAGTAATCCATAAAGAATTCACAGAGGAAAGTCAGCACTTTAAGACAAATTCTTAGCTTGACTGAAGCAAAACTCACTCAGTAATCCACAAGGCATGGAGGAAAAAGTTTTAATATTGAACATTTTAATACTGAAAAGGGCAGATTTGGTGAAAATCACCCCCCCCCTTGGCTGGGCAGGAGGGAGGGCAGAGTTCAAATCAGCTGTTCAAATTCAAGTTCATCTCAGCTGGAAATGAATGAGTCATTCTTCCCACATTCCCAGAGGCTGAGACACTCAGAGCTCTCCAGAAGGCCTACTGTGTGCACAGCCCTTGACTGTAGACAGTGAGGAGAGAACACATGGTCTTTCATAGAAGCTAGCTCACTAGTCACGTGCTGTGGTGAATAGGTACACAATTATTTCTGAGGCAGCTGAATTAAATCATATATTAAAATTGAACAAAACCCCAACTATTGTCCGGTGTCAATCGTGTACCCTGCCAGATGCCCCATAGAAGTCAACCTGCAGCTGAAATAAATGTCACAGGTGGTTCTGGAGGCCTTTTGAAGTTAACAATGTAAGATTTTTGTGTTGTTTTTAATCACATCGGCCCTGTTTCTCGCAGTGAAAAACAGCAAAGCCTAAAGGGGTGATGATGCTTTCTGTATAGTTTTAATTTTAGGGAGGAAGTAAATACTTAAATGGGGGCTCATTTTGACTTTTGCATTTTTCACCCCTAGGAAGATAAAAGCTTCTTTTTGGAGAATAGGGGTTTTAATGTGTGTGTGCCCCACACACGTGATGGGAAGGTGGGAAGGAGAAAAGTAGAGAGGAAGAATGAAGGGAAGAGAGGAAGGGGCTATAATTTTGAAACACAAACATGAAACCATAATGCTTGACCTATCCAAAGTACAGCACCATTCAGGTCCTCATTTATAATGCTATTAGTTGACAGACAGAAGAATTCAATTCTGGAATAGTGGCTTTGTCTCCAGAACCCCAGTCCTTATCCTTAGTTACTTGTTTCCCTATAGGTCCTTTATCCTTCACTCCCTAACAGAAAATTGTAAGTTAAAACATTGTCTGAGGACTTGTTCACACTGTTCAGAAGCCCAAGACTGATCTAGACCGAGTCCTAATTCTGGGGCAGTTGGGGAAAGTGGACAGTAGAATTCCACTGGGAGAGGACAGTCTGTACATCAACACAGAGTCCTTAAAGCTAAAGAGTAGTGGCCACTTAGGCCTCTGGAGGCATGTCAAGGTCACGCCTGCTGCATGGTTTGTGAAACCCAGAGAGCTTCTTTAAAAACATAACAGAAGTAACAAGGTACTCAAAGCACAAACCCCTTCTGCTCACAAACAGGAAAGCCTTTCGAATTCAGACTAAATTCCTAATCTCCAAATCCAGTCTCTTCACGTCTCTACTTTGCATACACACGTATTCAGGTAAAGACAACCATGAGAATGGATACACACCTGCTTCATGTCTTGGTCCCAGTCCATCCAGCTTTTTCTGAATGAAACATCCCCCCCCCATACCCTTTTAAACAGCCCGTTTAATTTCCTGGTGCAGAGGCCTAAACAAGAAGTCCCACAGCGGTAATACCTGCTTTTTGTGGCATCTGTTACTTCAGTACTTAGGAAGGCAGAAGGAGAGAAAACCGAGAGAAAACCGTGCTTGAAGCTGTGGCTGGAAACGACGAGAGACTGTTTTCTTCGATGACAGTCAAGCTGGACTGGGATCCTGTTCTCTGTTGGAGGCCGATGCATCTGTGGCTAAACTTTCAACCAAACTCTCGCGCTCATCAATTGCCTGGTATTCCCTCTTCTTGTACTTCCGGGTACTATAGATGGCCAAAGCAACGACAACTCCTAGTGCCGCGATGACTGCCAAGGTGATTCCAGCAGCCTCTCCTCCTGGCATACCACTGCTGTCCCCATGGATAACCGTCATGGCTCTACGCAGCTCCAGCGGCTCTCCCAGCTTCCACTGGTTGGTCTGGGGGTCTTTAATCCAGGATCTGGCCGTCTCACTACTGGTCACTATGACGGTGTTGGTGGCAGCTTGGCTCATGAGGGGTGGTTTGGTGTAAGGCGGGAGTCTTACAGGGAGCAGAGCCCCTCCTGTAAAGATGCCAGCCTTGACACAGTAGGACACTTGGCATCCATCACTGATAGCAGCTAGGTGTTGACTGAAGCCCCCAGGACATTTCTTCAGAGATGGTGCCCCTGCGTTTTTGGATGCATTGGAATTAACCAAAGGGTTCCCCGTTATACAGCTAAAGAATCCACCAAAGGGGACTGAAAACCTGTACCCCAACTCATAATCCAGAGAAACACATACCTTGAGGTTCTCAAACAGCCTCAGTGGAATATATCCAGCTGGGCATGACTGTGCATTTGTCTTGGGGTTGATGTTTTTGTCAGTGAAGACTCCTCCAAAGAGAAGTCCTGAGTTTTCAGGTACCTGGCCAGTGGCTGCACACCAATAAGCCCTGAATTCAGCCTTGGCCACTCGGAACACATCTTCACACACTGTCTTGCAGAAGATTTTGAGGGTGCACTTCTTTTTACATTCCAGGCGACTGTAACCCTCCTCATGGGTCTGAGACAGCAAATGGACAGGGGTGTAGCCGGAGGGGCAAGAGAAAGCACCAGTGAGCAGATTCTTCTGCTCCAGGTATTGGCAGAGAACATCTCCTGACAGTTCAGTGCATTCCTGGTAAACGCCACCGAAGGTGAAGTTGGTTACTTTCTCATCACAGGAGCCGTCATCCATATTGGCTTGAAAATCGAAGTTGGGGGAATTGACATTTGTGCAGCCAGGGTGGGTGTTAAAAGTGTAATAGCGTCTCACAGCGGTTTCCACTGTCTTCGAGAGCTTCTTCACCAAAGGACCTGGCAAGCCAGGCAGCTTGTCAGGCTTGATGAAGAAATGCAGAGGCAAACCCTCACGGTCTATTGCCACCAAGTGGTTAGTGATGCCCTTCTGCCAGGTTTCTAAGGTGATACCTGGGTAGAATGGAACCCCACCCATGCTCTGCATCCTGGAGTTAGTTCTGTTAGAAAGATAGCTCTTGGTCAAAGCATTCTGGGAGGTGTAGTCCGCCTCAAGTTTGAAGTTCACGATGTTTAAGAAGGCAATCCCAGCAGAGGCAGTCACTGCGTTCTTGCTGTTCTGGTTGTCCAGGAGGAAGGAGGACCTTATGTGGTCCTCCTGAACGAGTGCGGCCCCAGCATCCACACTGGTGATTACGTGTGTGCCATAGTTGAGGACCAACAGTTCTGCCAGGTAGGTGGCCATCTTTGTCTGGTTTTTCTCTAGCTGGTCACAGATGTCCATAAGTGCTTTCATAAACCCCAAGCTGAGTTCTGAAGTTGGGCTATTTTTGACAGTGTAGACCAGGTTTCTTACCTGAACCCTGGTGGTTACAGCTTGGTCCTTTACTTGAAGGTTCTTCATCCTTTGGAACTCGGAAGAGAACTTGCCGTTGACTTTAGAGAAAAGGGAGAGTTCCGTGTTGATGGAAAATGAGGTGGTGCTCTGGTAATTCACCCAGGAGTCCAGGATTTCTGAGTTCATGTCCAGGTTGCTCTCTTTCTGAGGAATAGTAAAGACTTCATCGGGGATGATATACTGGCCGTCTTCTGTGGTCTTACAGTTGGTGTATGTCAAGTCCATCACCCGTCCCATGTCTATGTTTCTCAGATTATCCCAGCCGCCTCCTGGTAGGACCTCCAAGACAGGTAGTTTCAAGGTATCCTTGCATGTTTGAAATCCAGTCTTAACTGTCTCTCCAAGAGGCTTGTCTGTTTCTGCATGTGCTGTCAGCGTCCAGATGATGACCATGGCCATGAAACTGTTCATGGTACAGACAGTTCCAGCCATGTTCATGCCCCAGGCATCCACCAGCAAGACTGGAGAAAGCAGAAAGATGGGAAAGAAAACTGTTGCTGAAATAGAAATTTCTATAGTTCTCCTAAAACCATCAGTTCCCCTTTATGCTGCTCTAGTTACAAAATAGAGAAATGAAAGCTGGTTGGAATATTGGAGATCATTAGGACCTTGTAAAAATTATTCTACACTGGATAAACAAAGATACCCTCTTTAACATTTAGTCCCCTGTGTCCCCCGCCTTGCCTTTCTTTTACTGAAGTGACAGATAACCAGTAAAAGACACCTACCTCTTCTCTATCAGAAGGCTCTGGTCTGGTTTGACTGGTTTCAAAACTGCCTGACTGTTGGCTCTTGTAATCACTTTACTAGTTTCTTTTTACTGGAAATGCCAGTTAGTAGCAACATTGCCCTTATTTGCATACCCCGCCTCCACTAGACAGGGTACTCCATGTCAAGGACAAATCAAAAGAATCTCCTCGGCTCACTGAAGTCGAAGGCTGTCCTTTGAGGAGGAAAGGGTAAAGTAACTCAGATACTTTTGTTTTGTGAGATCTCATTGTTACAAGTTACCACAATCCTGCTTTGGATGTGGAGTTATCTGGGGCTGAGCTCAACCGTCTAGAAAAGCATTCTGTTTGCCTTATGTTGCGAAACCTCAGTCTGAGCTGTCCTGAGCAGTCTGTGTGACAGTGAGGGCTCCCACACTGGGCTGTCTTTCTGCTTTCAGATCGAAATATTCCAGATGAGACAAAGCCACACTATAAATTTTGTTTGGCTCAAAGCATACAGTGTCCACACATTTGTCTGCTCTTCCCTGTGTGTGAGATTTTAAAGTAAGCCATAACTGAGCAAGCCTTTAGCTTTTCCATCCCATTATTGAGTGTATATACTCAGGAAAGCTGTTCTTTATTACTTGGCTTAAAAATATTAACATTCATTTCTTATATTGCCAGGAAAACATACCCTTAGGTGTTTTCTTTTCTTGTTCTCCCCCCTTTTGGCAGGTACTGACACCAGCTCCTTCAGATTTATAATTCAGAGAGATGTATTCTTTCCCAGTGATCAAGTATCGGGATTAAGGGAAGCTCAGATGAATTACATAGTTGGAAAAACTGCAGTAGTCTCAGTATATTTTGCTGGCAGCCAGGGACTCCATAATAGATTAAAAAGTTTCACATGACACCCTCATGACTCCCCAGATGATTCTATGAACAGGATACAAAGCTAAGACTTTTAAAACAGAATCCTGTTTCAGCCAGAGGTAGGTACTGTCACCTGTGTACAGACTATGAAGATCCCAAGGAACTGAATTTTCTCAGGCTGCCAGTGAGACAGCAGAGAACATTTTTAGAAGGGACAAGGCTGCCCTTCACCGACTGAGTTTCCGTAGTCGCTTTTCAGGCTCCAGTGGTGCTCTGGAAATCCAGAAAGGCCTCTCTGTGGGTCCGTTTATGCCAAGGTATTTTAGGAAACCAACTCACACCAATCTCCAAAGATGACTGAATTTGCAAACAATGTCCAAGCAGTCCTAAGCTGGAGAACACAGCCCAGCCACTGCAGAGGATGCTCTAGTTTATAAAAGTCGGGCTAAATACACATCAGAAGAGAGCCCAGGGTTAAGAGGCTTAGGCACTTGGCAATAACTCGGTATTTATACTTCCTTTGTTTTTAATTGTTTCATGTACACTCGTTTGAAGAAAGGCTAGCCATTTCTCCTTATTCTCTCTTTTCTAGATCTCATGGAGAGCTAGATTATGGTTCTGTGGGTGCAGGGTATTTTGTGCAGGTATGAGGACCCGAGTTTGGATCCTTAGAACCCACCTAAAAATATGGGTACAGCAGTGCGTGCCTGTCTCCTCATGCTGGAGGATCCCTTGAGCCTCTAGCTAGTGAGTCTAGTCAAGATGGTAAGCTTCAGATTCAGCGAGAGACCCTGTCTCAAGAACTGAAAGTGGGGAAGCAATTCAGGAAAGATCCTGATGTCAACCACTAACCTTCGCATATACCTGCACGAGGGATTTTATCAACACATACACCTGTATGTCACACTTGCAAACACACACACACACACACACCTGTTGGGACCTTGATGTCCTGAAGGGAGAGGACAAGCAAAGTAACCACAGACAGTTCTACATTCAAGTCTCTCTAAATTACTAAACATTCTACCACTTTTTTTCATCCTTTTTACGATTAGTACAGTTTCCCACTCAACGTTACAAAAATACTGAAGAAATTATACGACAATATTCTACAGCTAACACAATTTTTTCAAACCGTTTTGATTTAATGAGAGATCATTGTGTTATCATGATATGTAAAAAAATGTGACTAGACCTTCAGCGTGACTCCAGTTAAGAACAAATATATAAAATTAGAGGCTTCAACACAAACCCATTGACAGCAGTTATATCTATCTGCTCAGGAGAGTTTTTTTAAAAATCATTTTTCTTAATTTTCCAGAGATTCTTTGGTTTTCTTGCTTTTTCAACGAGGGAATGTCTTACCTATTTGAGTTTTTTGTTTGTTTGTTTTTACTGAGTATTTGCTAAGTGCCAAATAACTGGATATAATTTTGTACCAAGTAAAATAATTTGGGATGTAAGTATACATATTTTTAAAATGTGTTTTTGTGATTATAATTAAAACATTTCTCCATTCTTTTTTCCACTAATTGTTATCATATATATATGATATATATATATTCTTATATGTAACTTGCTCAGTCCATATAATGTTACTTGTGTTTATGTTTTCAGGACTGACCATTTGGCACTGGACAACCAATTGGTGCCCCCCCCCCTTTTAAAGTTTCCAATGATTTTTGGCACTTTCCTATGCTTGGGGCGGTTTGAGCACATGGATTTATTATTCCTTTGCTCAAGGAAGTTCTCTTTTTAGTTGGCGGGGAAGCACTGAAAGGAGAAGTGAAAATGGCAAGAATCTAGGACACAACCTCCACTTCTATGCCAGGGCTGGAAAGTGGCGCTCGGAATAGGCAGGTGAGGATTTGACGGCTGTGTCTCACCCTCATTTTTCCTGTCTGACTCCTCCCAACAATTTTCTTGCTTTTTCTTGTACTTGAATATGCATGCAAACCCATGTTCTCTCCAGATGGCTGCCTGGAGGGACTGAGGATTGAGGCTAACCACCGAACTCTGACCTCTTGCAGAGAGAGGCAGTTCTCCCATAGAAGGTATGCATCCGCGGTGCTGAAAATCAATTTCACTTCCTCCAACAAGCAGCAAGGGGGAAGTCACAGAGCTTCTTTCTTCCCCAATCTGAACACGTGTGCCACTTCAGACACTGTCATGAGTTAAGCCGTGATTCACGTCTGAGGTTCACTTCTGTGTGGGCTTGGAGCCTGTCCAGGTGTTTGTGCCATGTGTGTGTGTCCCCAGTGGTCTAAGGTGGTTGCACTAGCCGGGATCAGCACACTTGGTTTGTCGGGGATCTAAGAGACGAGCCCGAACTCTGACATACAAAGGATTGCTAAATGGAGCCAAGAGCCTTGACTTGTGCAGACCCTGGAGTAAATGCTGGTGAAAACGAAGGACCTGGGTGGCACAGAACACAGTGATATATATATATA